TTCTGTAAATACATGGATATCATCTAAGAACTTAGAGAAAAACTCTTTTTACTCCTTTCCTGGTCTAGCAGCTCTTGTCATGGTGTCTGGTAGCTGCCATACCCAAACAGTGTGTGGACAGACTATGCTAGTTTCAGCCAAGTTAGCACTACATCACAGTTATAGTTAGGCAAATCAGAGTCCCTCTCTCCCTACATAGTACATATATTACACACACATATATGTACACGCATTCACACACTCAGGGATTGCACCTTGGTCCTTGTATGTAGTAGGCAAGTATTTTATTAATGAACTGTGAATAAATCAATTCTGAAATGATGAGCATAATATATAAAGGTTAAGAAGGCTACAAAGAGCACTTGGGAGGCAGAGGCAGGTGGATCTCTGTGAGTTCGAGGCCAGCCTGGTCTACAAGAGCTAGTTCCAGGACAGCCTCCAAAGCCACAGAGAAACCTTGTCTCAAAAAACAAAAACAAAAAAACAAAACAAAAAGGCTACAAAGGGTACAAATAAAATATGAAGGCTAAGATTCAAGATCTTTTCATTACATTCAAATTACCCATTGCTGGCCCTCAAAAAACACCCTTCAAGATCCTGCAAAGTTATAGTCCTAAAAACATCTTGGTATTGGCACAATAATAGACAGGTAAACCAATGGAATCGAATTAAAAACCCTGATATTAACCCACACACTTACGAACACCTGATTTTCAACAAAGAAGCTAAAATTATACAATGGAAAAAAGATAGCATCTCCAACACATGGTGCTGGTATAACAAGACTGCTGATAGATCCATGTCTATCTCCATTACCAGTGAATCTGGGAAACAGGGAGGTTCCTAAGAGAGATATGCATGGTACCCCAGAGAAGGGGAATGAGGCAAGATTTCATGAGTGGATTGGGAACATGGGGGGAGGGGAGAGGGAACTGGGAAAAAGAGAGGGGGAGAAAAGGAGAGAGGAAGACATGGGGGAGCAGGAAGGTTGAGTCAGGAAAGAATAGAGGAGAGCAGGATGAGAGATAATGGAGGCAGTCATTATAGGTTTGAGAGCTGACCCTAGTGGGATTTCCAGAGATCTACAAGGATGACACCAACTGGTAAACTAAGCAATAGTGGAGAGACTACCTTAATTGCCTCTCCCTAATAATGAGATTGATGACTACCTTATATGCTATCCTAGAACCTTCATCCAGTGACTGATGGGAGCAGATGCAGACACCCACAGCTAAACACTGAACTGAACTCCTGGAACCCAGTGACAGAGACAGAGGAGTGATGAGTAAAGGGATCAAGACTGCCCCGGTTGAAATCCACAGAGACAGCTGACCTGACAAGGGGGAGCTCATGGACCCCAGATTGATGGCTGAGTGGTCAGCATGGGACTGATCTAGACCCCCTGAATATAGTGTCAGTGAGGAGGCCTCAGCAATCTCTGGAGCCTTGGGTAGTAGATCAGTGTTTACCATGGCATACGAGTGAACTTTGGGAGCCCATTCCACATGGAGGGATGCTCTCTAAGCCTGGACACATGGAGGGGGGGCCTAGGCCCTGCCCTGGATGAAATGACAGATTCTGGAGATCCTCCATGGAGGGCCTCACCCTCCTTGGGGAATGGTGTGGGGATTGGGTGGGGGGTTGGGAGGGCTGGTGGAGAGGAGGAGGGGAGGAAGAGGGAGCTGGGATTGACATGTGAAGCACACTTGTTTGGAATAAAAAATAAATAATAATAAAAAAAAAGATCCTGCAAAGTTGTACAGACAATTTTTTTTAACCCGTATGGAAGAGGAGTTATCTACAACAAAGTTAGTGAGAAACTAACAATATATTGACTGGTTGTGTGACCTTTCTAATTAGTGATCTTAAGTAAGTTTTTTTCTTTCAGTTTTCTAGATTGAACCCAGGTTCAGTGCATGCTAGGACACTGAACTTTGCCCTTATCCCCAAGTGAATGATCCTTAATTCCACTAAGACCAACCAAGTCTAAGGGCCGTTTATGTTTTCTCCAGTAACATCAACACAGACTGGATCACAAACAGTTTGCCCAGACAGCCAGCATACTATCTGAATTGACTTTGTGGGCTTACAAAGGTTAGTTTATGGGATGATATTTTTCCTTGATAACACTCATTTTTAATTTCTATAAAAACTGAACTTAGAAGGCAGAGCCTCTAATTACTTTGCCATGCTTCACACATGCCTACTTGACCTTGGTCAATGGCAGCAAAGTTAATTGATTCTCAAAGTTGAAGACATGGAGGAAACCACATTCCAATAGTATTGGTTTGAGTAGACAGAATTCTGAACTTACATCTCACAAAGAATGTTTTCCTCAATGAATTTGGTTGTTGCAAAAATGTCAGAGCTGAGTTTTAGTTTTGGAAAATTGGTTTAATTTTATCTGTAACTTAAATGAAAATGTGCTATTTGATAGCATGTTTGTAAGTGTCATTTGAAGTTAGGAGTGCAGGTGATAGATGACAGATGCCTAAAAACATGATAATAGATGCCTGGAATAGAAGGAAGAAATGTCAAATACAGTGTAATGGTATTCCTTTAGTTATTTCACTGATCAAAGATAGACCAGCTATTAGCCAGGAAGGAACAAATCTCCTTTCATTTTTCTTTATCTCTGTCGGATCTCAAAGCACAAAAGAGGTATGGGGACAGATAGGTTTGTCTAGCTTCCATTGATAAGTAAAGTAGCATGGATGACTTAGATGGCTATTGTTGAAAAGACTGGAAATTTTTATATTATAAAATTTGCTTAATAGTAAGTTTCTCTCAAGCTTCCTGAGTTAAAATAGCACTAACCAAGTCTAGTTGTTTCTGTGTGTCAGGTGTTCAGAGCAGGACACACAGGATTTGGTTTGTCTCTTTACAAAATTTAGGACCTCACAGAAACATTCAGGAGATAAAGTGATGATTCATCCATCCCTACATAGGTCTGAATTGTTGAATGAAATGCCCATTTGTGTCAATGGTAAGCAGTTTACTACTGAGCAATAGTTCACTCTTTTCATCTTTGAGTGGAGCTTTATCTCATAAGATGTTGGAAGGTCAAGCTACTCATCTTCTGACATAGTTCCTAATACATTTTTATTATTAAAAATAGCTTCACACTTTTATTCAAATTTCACTGTTTTCCCTATTCATTTTTCTTTTCTCTAGGATGCCATATTGAAAGCCCCATTTGGTCTACTTAGTTCTTGATAGTTTCAAGACATGCTTTATTGTGTCCTTGACTGAAGAAGCAGTGGCTGTGTATTTTGTCCAATGTTTTTCTCATGGTTAGGCAAAGCTTATCCGTTTATAGGAGGTTTATTTTGTTTTGATTTTAGAGACTTACCTGTATGTGTGTGTGCCTGTGTGCACGTATGTGAACCACTTATGTGCACAGGCCACTGAAAACCAGAGGGCATGGTGTCCTCTGGAACTGGAGTTATAGGCAGTTACGAGCCCTGCCAGCTGTCGTGAGTGCAGGGAAACAAACTCAGGTTTTCTGTAAGAATAGCAAATGCTCTTAACAGCTAAGCTATCTCTTGAGCCCTGCAGGTTTATTTTTAATGAACTTATTCATGGTTGTCAGTCTGTGAAAATGAAAGTATGCAGCTTTTTATGGTTGAAGAAACCCTGTCTGAAGCACACAATTCAAATCACTCATGGTATACAAACTTTTCTTCAGTAGAAGCTTCTACCCTACCAAGCACTCATGGTATACAAAGTTTCAGAGCCTCTTTTCTTCAGTAGAAGCTTCTACCCTACAAAGCACTCATGGTATACAAAGTTTCAGAGCCTCTTTTCTTCAGTAGAAGCTTCTACCCTACAAAGCACTCATGGTATACAAAGTTTCAGAGCCTCTTTTCTTCAGTAGAAGCTTCTACCCTACAAAGCACTCATGGTATACAAAGTTTCAGAGCCTCTTTTCTTCAGTAGAAGCTTCTACCCTACAAAGCACTTGCACTGTAGCCTGAAATGAAATACTAACGCTCTCCAATGCTACGGCTTTCACACAGGCATTCTTTGCTTGTTTTAATAGGTTGTTTTTTTTCTTCCTCAAGAGCATTCCTTTATACTACATTTTTCTCACCCATATCCTTACTTCCCCAGACTTCCCACCCTCCTGTCCTATCTGTTACTAAGTTTCTCCAACTAGTGTAATAGTGCAGACATTAATTTATGTCAAACGACTTTTACTGTATATTTTGTAACAGGCATCTTGTCCTGGTTGAGGATACTTTAAAAGGACAAGATAAAGTCATTGCTGTCATCCAGTTGACGTTTTAGTGGATCAGGCAGACTGCCAACACATCGCATTGCCTTTTGTTCTGAAGGAAGGAGTTGAGATAGAGAAGTACGCGTTATAGGCGTGAGGTACAGTGTACTTTCAAGAATTCCGGAACCTCCTATAGGAAAATATTACCAATGCAGGTTTGCTAGCTGCCAGCAATCCCTCAGTTACCTGAGGGGTCAGTCTTTCCCCTGTCTCCAGTGCTTGCTTCGGCCTTCATTGGCAACACAACAGTGGTTTCGGAATTAAAAACAAATCACAATCATATATAAAACTTTTAAACCACCTGTGCCTGTTGCTCACTCCCTAATGTGCCCCCAGTAGCTGCGTCTTTCAAACATTCTTTTTGGAGAAGCAGGGCTCCCGCGCGCTTCCCATGTGAGCCAGCTGTCACCAGGATGTCAGCATCAGCTTCCCCTGAATTTTGTGGCCAACGCAATCTTGCAAACATGGGCCTCCTTTCTCATCTTGAGGCGCACAGCCAGGATGAAGCCGGCCCGGGGAATCCGCTCAAGGCCAGCCTCACAGGGGATGTTGGAAGTCCTCTTCCAGAGCAGGCTGGGCGACAGACTCCACTGACACTTGGCCGCGCTCCCGGCTCCCGGCGCCTCCGGCGCCCCAGGCACACACTCAGGGGCCCGCCCCGCCCATTTCCGGGTGGGCGTCGCGGCGGCCGTCGCATGCGTAATGACGTGTGCGTCCCCGGCAGACCCCGGAAGTGCAACTCGAAGTTGGTGGGGGCGCGGATCCCGAGAGAGAAAGTGGTGGCAGGCGCGCTCCAGGGGGCTCGCCCAGCGATCTGGAAGGCTACGCCTCCTCCCGCCTACCCCCTCAGCCGTGCAGCTGGGGGCAGAGCTCAGGTAGGACTCTGGACGGGCTGGCCCGGCCGGTCTCGGGCGAGCGCAAGGCTGGCCCGGTTCCTGACTGTCAGAAGCCACGCGTGGTCCCCGGGGCTCGTCTCTGACCCGGGTCCACCACCTTGCAGAAGGGCTGCCTCCACCGGCCTTGTCGGCTCTCCAGGCCGGAGGAACACGTGTGTCCTGGGGTGGCTAGCCTGCTGTCTGAGCCCACGAGACCCTCCACTCACCGAATTGCGGTTGTCTGGTTGGAGTCGTTCTTAGTTGTACGTTTTTATGCAGAAAGTGTTGACTGCTAAAGCTTTGGCCCTCCAGGCTTGTGTGGTGTGGACCTCAGTAGAATGTGTATATTCTTCTTAAAGTTACTTACATCTGGAAGCAGCCGATGTGCTCTGGCCCTGCTACTGCCTTGTTTTGTTTGTTTTTAAATAGGTGCAGTGTGGTGGTGCTGTTAAAGCTCATGGTTTGGCTTTGCCTTAAAGCACTGTCCAAAGTGTTCTGTTTCTCCTTGTTCTTTTGGTCTTGAAAGGGACACATGCCCGTACTCATTCCGCAGCTGAAACAGAGCGTTCTTGAGGGCTAAATTCAGGCTCCAGTGGCAGTGCTGGTATGGAGCTTTCTGTAAACCCTCCTAGTTTCAAACAAGGAGTCTGATCCCTTTAACCAGTGAGCTGACTGGAATGGCTTTTTGTCTGTGGCTGCAGCAGCACTACAAATGGTAGAACAGTATCCAGGCCAAGAGAGAAATAGGATTTATAAAGCTGTGAGCATTGATCTTTCATTCATCTAGTGTATTGACTAGTCACCTTCAACAAGTCAGGAAATGTCCCATGTTCAGAGAAGACAGCAGTGAACCAAACAGAAAGACCTGTGTGCTCTTATTCTAGTGGGTGGAGAACAATCCGTGAGCAAATGCACAGAAAGTGAGGGATGCCAGGGAAACTGAAGCAAGTAGAGGGGTCAGAGAGGATGGGAGTGCTGTGAGAGAAAGGGAAGGCTCTTTGCTAAAGGGGAGTTGAGTAGAGATCGGAACTAAGTGAGGGGCTGGACTCTGCAGCTGGGGGGCGTTTTGCATGAATACCTGGGAGAGGTTGAGACACATTTGTTGTCTCTTGGAATAGTAAAGATGTAGTCAGTCTGGAGACTGACTGTTCAGTGATTTGTTATGTTCTTGAGAGGGCATGTTTAATGACCACCAGTTTAGCTTGGTGACGAGAATCCAGGTCAGTGCTCATTAAGGTGTTTCCATGCTCTTCATTAGGCTCTAACAAAATTACCAATATTCAGTCAGTTCATATAACACGTGTTGCCTTTGTTTTTGTTAGATTGAGTTTACCCAATAGTGCAAATATGTACTGAATACTTCTCTGCACTAATTTTACTTTTCATTTACTTTATCACTATAGTAAAATGTACCTAACATAAAATACTGTAATAATTTCAAGGATTCAGATGAGTACCACAGCGTATGTTCACATTGCTGTGTAACCATCATCGCTGTTTGTCTCTAGTGTTTTAATTTTCCCTAGATGAAGCTCTGTATCTGCTAAACACCAATTCCTCATAGTCACCTGCCCTTAGCCCCAGCAACAATAGAGCTTCTTTTGTGTCTGTGGACATATCACATGAGTGTACTTAAATAGCATTTGTCCTTTGGTGACTGACTTTTTTTAAACTTAGAAAGCTGATCAACATATAATTTAAGGGCTTGACATACTGTTTACCACAGTGACTTCCCGGGTTTTCTTTCCCACCTGCAATGCACAGGGTCCTAATATTCCCACAGTGTTGTGAATGTTTCTCCACATCTTCAACAAACCTGTTAAAACAGTAATCACCATACACATAACTATGTAGGACTATCTGTGGTTTTGATTCACAAATCTATAATAATTGGTGATGTTACACATTTTTTTTTTCCTGTGCTTTTGGTCCACGTGTCTTCTTTGGAGTTTTTGCAGTCCAGGCTGGCTTCAAACTCACGATTCTTCTGCCACAGCTGTGCACATATTGAAATCCTTACAGGTGTGGTAACCATTTCCAGGTTTTTGGGGAAGGTGTGATACTAGGAACTGAACCAGTGCCTTACGCATGCTAGATGAATGCTATGTCTCAAGCTTATTAATGTAAAATCTGATTTTAATAAAACTTTTTGAGATTTAATTGTGATATTTTTAAGTATTGGGTTGCATTTTAAGATGGCAAACACCATGTGTTTTCTTGCTTTTCAACCCCAAAGTTCTATAATAGTAAAAACTCAAATGACTGTAGGCTAGCTATCCACAGTCATCCCATACTTAGAAATTAAACAGAAACAAAAGCAAAACTTTAAAGTCAACTTTTGTACAATGAACAAAACTTTCCGTATCAGATTATGACGAAAACAGCTCAGAGAAACCAAAGATCTCCCTGCTTCACTTTGCTGTTTCTTCTTTAATTGAAAGGCAAAGGGTGTATTGATTGGCCAGTTGTACCTGTGAAGTGTACCTCTTTTGTTTGCTAGCTGAGAAGAGACGAAACAGAAGGCAAAATGGTGAAGAGTAAAGACATGTTGGATAGCACTGAAGCAGTCAGATGTGGCTGGAAGGACAGTGACAAAGGGGCTCAGTGATAATGGACAGGGAGTGCCATGACTGCCCAGAGAGGACCCAGCAGCCAGGTAATGAGAATAATACAGATCCACAGACTGGAGTGGCATGGAGAAAAAGGCGAGAGAGTGTGACTTCCCAGTCACTTCTCAGCACGTGGCTCTGAAGCAAAGCTCTCAGTAATCCAGGGAGACCTCTTTATCAAGGTTCAGTAGCCATTGTTTGGAAGGTATGAGCTATGTGTAGTCCTGCAGAATAAGCTAACTTCTTGAGAATATGTACTGCATGATTTTTGTTCCTATGACAGAGATTTAGTTGAGGACCCCAAAGCTCTCATTATATAACTCTGGCTGCTCTTGATCTCAAAGAGATCCATCTGCCTCTGCCTCCCAAAAGCTGGGATTAAAGGCATGAACCACCATGTTGTCCATTAAAATATTCTTATATGTAATGTTTAAAATCAAAAGAAGTATCTTACTGAAGAATGCCTGAATGTCCACTGTGAGGTTACAGTAACCTTTTTTTTTTTGGCTATTGGAATTTTTGTATGCAAATATCATTTATTAAATACTTTGGGGATAGTATACTTCTCAACCCTTTCGGTTATAGAGCTTATTTAAACCAGCCATTTTTCTGTAGTTTAAATAATGAATGAAAAGATTATGCCATTCTTTTTATTGTTCTTTGGCTAACTGAAACTTAATTTGGCTCAGATGAGGCGAGAGATGATGAACTTGCTCAGGGCTTTGCAGGTAAGTTACAAACAAGTTAGAGATAGCAGCACTGCATTGCTTCCTTTGCATAGTTACCCCCCCCATTTTTGGATGCACTTTGGTTTGCAATGTATACAGAAATTTTTGTCTCAGAGAAAATATTACTGTCAGGACAGAGCACAGAGCAACAGCATTATTACATGCACGTGTCTTCATAAAATGTTTTTCATTTGGGTGAAACATCGTATTGGGTCATCATACACTTAGTCTTGATTTGTTCAGAGGGTATGGGTGATAATAAGACTTGGATTGTGAATTGGGGTCTTGCAAACCTCTTTAATAGCTCATTAGAGCAATGATTACAACCAGTACACAGCAGTGTAATAATAGACCGTTGTGGGAGATTGGTAGCATTCTTAGGCTCAGATCGGGAATCTTCATCCTATGATGATGTGTCAGGAATGTCTGAATGTTAGCACGACATAGGAAGATACAGCCTGAGCTGTAAGTGAAGGGATTTAGAGGACATGCATAGGTATGTAAATAAGAAAGACTTAAGACCAGGAAATAATATTACCTTTTAAAAATTTATTCTTTTATGTCAACTAGTTTGAGGAAGTATTGATTACTTGTGCCAGTAAAACAGTCATTGTTCAATTTTTATAGCTCAGTTTTGGAAAATACTTCTGACCTTATTCTGCTTTGGGCAAAATTATTACTCTGTTGGGTCATTAGAGTTTTATTTTTATCACAGATGTGTTTATTTTTATCCTAAATGCTTCTCAGCTGTATAGGAGAGTACTAGGCTGTTATAGTCTATAACACTGCACAGAGCTAGGTGTGGTGGCACACGTCTGTGGGCCCAGCTACCAGAAGATGAGGCTCAGCATTTTGTGAGACTCTGTCTCCAAATAAGATAGTTTTCAAAAAGGGAAGGGAATGCAACTTGGTGGTAGACCATTTCCTTAATATCTGTGAGACTCTGGCATTAGTCGCTTTTACCACAGCAAACAACAGTCTACACAAGGCAGAGTTTAAAAGTCAAGGAACCTCAGGATATGTTTCTGTCTAATTTAAGTAAAAATCCATGATTTTGATCTGAAAAAAAGAAGTCCCTACTACAGGAGTCTTTCATTCTGTATGGCAGTTGTGGGACCAGTTACATCTCCTTGGTGATGAAGCCTGTCTCCCTGTTGGTTCACTTCTCCTGTTGAGACTGGCTGTTCATGAACACAAGCTCTCTCTACCTGAATTTACTGCTGACTCCCTGATGCCTATAGGCATCCAACAGTATGATTCCCATACCATACAAATTTCAGCATGACTACTTCTTGCCTCCTGTTTCTGTGAGCATGTCACCTTTTCTTGTTTCTTCCAACATACTTTCAGTGTTTGTAGCTTGACACTGGGTGCAGACTGTTTTGAGCTGTGAGAGCTTATTGTTGAGACTAGAATCACGTGTCCTGGTCTCCAGTGTCTCCGTTTTCTTCTGTCAGGGTCATGATCTTTCCTGCAAGTTGAATTCTGGTCTGAATTCTAGGTTTTGTTCTAGGACCAACAGAATTGATTTTACTGGTGGTGGTGGTGAAAATTTTATGTGCATCAGGAATACTACAATAACTGCTAAGACACTGGATAGTTCTGTTTTATCATTGAAAATAAACTATTTAAAGCAAACTTATTTATTTTGAATATTTTTCTT